TTCTGTGCATCTAAAGTTTCTAAAGCGTTCTTTACTTTTACTTGAGAATTTTCGAAATTGGCAAATCCCAATAACGGTTTCTGGAACGTGCCACATTTGTTCGCTACATCGTGATGTGATAAAAAGGAAAGCTGGCAGCACTCCGCAAGGGTGCAGAAATCTTTTGAGATATGTTCGAAAAATATCTTGATATGGAAGGAACTGCTTTACACTGTCAAGGAAAAAAATTGCCAAAACTCAAGAAATTTTTAGCTACTTCAATCTTACAATTTGTTATACTATAATTCTTTTTTTTTAGATGCTAATTAAAATGTTTGCAATTTAGGTGAAACCTTGCAGAATATTTTTAATTTTTGTACAAAATTTGGTCCAAAACCTGAGATCTACCACATTTTTTTGAAATCTACCACATTTTTTTTACAAATTCTACCACACAAATTTATTTGTAAGTCCGATCACTGTGGCCGACATGGAAACGTCTGCTCAAGCCTTGGGCCATCGTTCTGCTCTCGCATCGACACCAGAAAATAGGGGTCACGGAAACGAAGCTTTCGGCCAACACGATAACGACCACACAACTCGTAATAACGAAGGCTTCGATGAACAGAAAGAAAGTTGATTTGGAAAAATGGCACATAAAGTTCGATGGCAATAGTAAGGGTATGACAGTTGAAAGCATGAACCTACTAACAAGATCACGCAATCGGAAAAGAATGAAAAAAGTAAATTTCTGAGCGTTTTTGACATCTGCCTAAAAATGAAAGCAAACAAAGAAAACGAAAAAGGCGCGGTGATTGAGTGCGATTAGATTGGTATTTATTATAAACTATAAAAAGTGAAACTTGATGACAATTAGCAAAAAAAGTTCATAAAATATGGTTTTAATGATTGAGAGTGTTTTACAATCGCATATTATCGGCGCCGGTCGATTTTTCAATGCCACGTTCTGACCACAAATGTGCACCCACTTTTCACGCAATTTTACTCCTCTTGGCAAATCAAACAGACGCACAAACTTGTTCCAATCAAAAAGCACTACATATTATATCATAAATTTGTAATAAATCAAAATTTCTAATTAAAATCGCTGCAGAAAACACATAAAATCGCTAAAATATCACTACGAAGAGGTAGAAGACGATGTAAACAGAACCAAAAAACATCAAAAACACTACGAAAACTTTTTTCTGAAAATCGATTACAAATACAACGATGGCGGATTACGTGATCTGTAGTCGTTGGATCATGAGTTGAAAGCTTCCTATTTCGTATAGAAAAAGTGCGCCCACAACATGAGATTTCACACAACCAACTCTTCACTGACTTTCATTGTCTCGTATCGGGCTCCGCCTTGAAGTGGTACTGGCAAGTACTCGAAGATCATGCCGATGATCTGAACTTCGGATATACCGAGCTGAAATCCGAGTTGCTGGCCCACTTCAAGACAGCGGAGTCCGACTACGAGATAATCCGCGAGATAATGGAACGCAAACAGCTCCCACAAGAAAGCTTCGATGAATTTTACGGGGAGGTCCATAACTTGACGTTCCGTCTGAGGAAGAAAATTCCTGAAAAGGAATTAGTAGGCATTTTAAGAGAGAATTTGAAACCATACCTTGCAAATTTGACATTTGCTTATAGGATGGATACCCTGGCCGATTTAAAAACAGAATGTAGGCGCGCCGAGAGGGTGATAATGGAGAATAGAAATAGATCGAAAGCAGTCAACGAGCTAACTTTCCCAGATAAACAGCTACCGGAGGAAACAAGCAGCATGAGTGCTGTCGAAGCCATCATGATAAAAGGCAAGGAGCCTTTCAGCCAACAATCCAATACCAGGGTGAGGCCAAATATGCCACAGCCAAATACGCTGATCCGTTCGACCGCAAATAGCAACAAGTCCACCATTAACGCGTTCTGTCCGTCCCCGTTTCATTTAATGTTATGTTTTTCATGTGGAATGCCTGTAGATTTTTATGTTAAAAACCCGAATGAAGCGAAAAAAGTCTCGTTGTAAATCGTCCTTTCACGACATGGTTTGCTTTGCATGCGGGGGGGACATGTCCTTTTGCGTTTCTAAGGCTGAGAAGGGAAACTTTACACTGGCGGAGATAGCCGGGGACTCCTGCCAGGGGAACGAGCTCCCGGAAACCAACCAGAATACAAATTATTAAAGAGAAACAATGAAGTTGAGCATAACAAACTAGATTTAGGTATCAAACAAGTAGCTAAAAGTTTACATCAAAGAAAGTTGGAGTATGAAGCTGCTAGGAAGAGAATATTTTGCGAATCATTAGAAGAAAAGAGAAATAATAGGAATTTTAAGAAAATAAAGAAGATGAGGGAGAAAAGAAAGTTATATAAGCGAATCAACAGTAAAATCGTCTCAACGATTGTTACACTTAAGGGAGACAATAGGTTCTTTGCTCAAACGAAGATAGGGGACATAGAGACCCTAGCTTTGTTAGATTTCGGCGCTGGAGCTAGTTGCTTAGGTAAAAATGCTCAAAAGTTTCTAGAAGGGAAGGAAAATAACATTATTCCAATTACGGGTCAGAATATCAGGACAGCAAATGGTGGTGAAACACCAGTGACAGCGGTTATAACTCTCCCAGCTGTATGGGATGAAATGGCTAGGGATATGAATTTCTAATAGTTCCTGGACTCCAACAGGAGGTTTACCTAGGCATAGACTTTTGGAAGGTTTTCGGTCTCGAGGTGGTCAGCAGGCGGGGAGTCACACGTCCAGCGCATGCCACAGTTTCAGAGCTCGTACCCGCCGAGGGGGATTAGTCATTTGACGCCGTGCAACATTCACTAACACCAGAGCAGACTGCGGCATTAGATAGGGTGAAAGTGCAGTTTCCCTCTTTCGCCGTTCTTGGTTTAGGTAGGACGGACATGGAAGAGCATGCGATCGAAGTCGTTGATGAGAATCTTCCAGTGAAACAGCGCCATTACCCCATTTCACCTGCAATACAGAAATTAATTTATGAAGAGCTAGACAAAATGTTGTGTCGGGGGTAATAGAAGAAAGTAATAGTAGCTGGAACTCACCAGTTTCCCTCGTAGTAAAAGGTACAAAGAACCGCCTTTGTTTAGATGCCAGAGAAGTAAACGAACGTACCATAAAAGACGCGTATCCATTACCGCATGTGGATGGAATCCTTAGCCGGCTCCAAAATACACGATATATATCTGCAATAGACTTGAAAGACGCCTTCTGGCAAATTCCATTAGAAAAAAAATCAAGAGAAAAGACAGCCTTCACTTTTCCAGGCAGGCCCCTATACCAATTTACGGTAATGCCTTTCGGACTTTGTAATGCCGCGCAGAGAATGTGCCGACTAATGGACAAGGTTATACCCGTTGTGTTACGTGAATGCGTGTATGTGTATTTAGATGATTTGTTGGTGTGTTCAGAAGATTTTTCGTCCCATTTATGTTTGCTGGAGAAGGTCGCTCGTTGCTTACGTGAAGCAAAACTAACTATTAACGTAGAAAAAAGTAAATTTTGTTATAAAGAGGTTAGGTATCTTGGCTACGTGGTAGGCGATGGATGTATCCGAACCGATGCCAATAAGGTCGCTGCCGTGAAGGATTTCCCCGAACCCAAATCCCCAAAGCAGCTACGACGGTTCCTAGGTATGTCAGGCTGGTGCCGTCGTTTTATCCAAGATTACGGGACCATTGCAGCACCACTACACGACTACCTCACGACCCATAGCATATATGTCCGCTAAGTTGAACAAAGCTCAACGAAATTATAGCATTACTGAGCTTGAGTGCAACGTAGCTGTTTTAAGTGTCAAAAGATTTCGACCATACGTGGAAGGGCTACCATTTACTATTATCACAGACCACGCGAGTCTCAAGTGGCTCATGAATCAGAAAGACTTATCTGGTAGGCTTGCTAGATGGAGCCTTAAGTTACAGGGATACAACTTAGAAATTGAACATCGCAAAGGTGCACAGAACGTCGTTCCAGATACGCTGTCACGCATGAATATGGAAGAAATCGCACTCAATGAAAGACTACTTTATATATGCTTGGAGTCGCCCTATTTTAAATCGGAAGAGTACAAAGAGTTAATCAGGACCGTGACGGAGAACGAGGACAAATTACCTGACTTACGAGTATCTGACGGCTACATATATAAACGGACACTGTTTGACCGAACAGGGGGCCTTCAAGCGGACCAAGCCTGGAAACTTTGGGTTCCGTCGGAGCTGCGTAAAGGGTTGGTAGAATTCTCTCACGGCTCGCCCCCACTGGTCATGGTGGCATCCAAAAGACGTTATCACGTATACGCGAAAAGTATTACTGGCCTGGTATGGCAGCCGAGGTACAGTCTCATGTGAAAAGCTGCGAGGTATGCAAAGCAAACAAGACGCTGAATTTCTTTCATAAACCGAACATGGGAAAGCAACATATAACCGAGCGACCTTTCCAGCATTTGTATATTGACTTTAAGTTTAATGAAACTCCACGAAGTCTAACAGGGTATGTACTCCGTAGGTTCACACAGGCATATCGCCAGGGCGGCAAACCCGAAGTTTTCGAGTTGGGCTATTTACGCCAGCAACTGTTGGGCATACATATGTGCAAAAAGACCAGCTGATCTGGAAGCACATAAGAACTAACGTCAACGACCGCATGCACATGAGCGGAATACAACCGATTTTGAGGGAGCGTAGCAAACAGAATCCAGAGAGGAAGAGTACACTTGAGAAGGGAGATCATACATACATACATAATTAATAAACCTTCCAATTACAGGAATCAACGCGGGAAGCGCAGCGAGAGCTTCCAAGCTTACACCCATTACACTATCTTTTTTTACCTGCTATTTTAAATTACACCTTCTCTTGTCATTCTTCAATTAGTTTATTTTTTTTGCTCTTTTTTATAATTATCACCGTTTGTTTCTTCGCACATGATCCGTTCATGTTAAATTTATTGCGAGAACTTTTCTTCAATTAGTTAATGCTTTTTTTTTAATTTGCCGCAGATGTTTAGTTATAAATATGTATTTCTTTCTTTGCATGAATTCCTATATCTAAGTTTTCATTTTTCTCCATACACTTTTTTTGGTGAGTTTAGTACCAGTTATTACGATTTTTTTTCTTACCCCAATATATTGTTGAGTTTTCGATTATTATTGGTAAAGATGCGTATCCGCGAAGCTATTCCGTTGAATTGAATTGTAGTTTTTTTATTTTAATCGAGAATCCATTTAAATTTAGATCTAAAGAATTTGTCCTCCAAAAGGTGTCGTATCAAAGCGCGAGGTCCCAATGAGTTTGACACTTCGACAATTGTCATTGTAGACCCAAATATGCTCCATCTATGATAAACATATACTCTCCCGTACTCGCTGGAAAGCTTGTACATACGTACGTACATATTTTTTTGTTTTCAGCAACCTGTCTCCCGCATGCAGGCGCCTTCATCGTTGAAGAGACCGGTGAGTGCTAGAATTTAAGCGTATACATGTACTAACGTACGTGCATATATAATTATATGCATTGACCTATATTCTTGGTTTCTTGTGAAATTTGTACATAGAGGTAGTAGCTTTGAGATATCTACAGCAGCGTACTTGATTATTGGGCCAGGTTCCTTTCGAATGAAGGCTTAGGTAGATAAGTATAGATCTAATTACAAAGTTGAAATACAAATATTAAGTTCACAAGCAAGAATTATATGAATCAAAAATTGTTAAACTTACCATCTAGTTTGAATTAGTTTTCAGTTGAGGTCTAAGAACAAGGAATTTGAATTTAATGAATCGTCAAGCTGTAGCTTTTAGTATATAGTAATAGGTCAAATTATTGCAGTTAGTATTGTTATTTTTGTAATGAATAAAAGATTCTAATGTAGAGAAGTTGAAAAGATATAAGAATGAGTTGCTAAGATAATTGGTTTGGTGTGGGTGTTGCACTAGTGCAATAGAGGGGACATGGGTGTTGCTGACTTCAGACTGTGGACAGGGACATGACAGATAAAATGACATACGGACACTAGTCAGGATTAGGGGACTCTGCGATTTGAAGGAGTCATGGCAGAGTCCAAGGCTACGACGTGTAGATGGGGAGGGATGACTCCACCTGACAGGACTGGTCTTTTCTTCCATCATACTCTAACATCTATCTTATCTTTCTTATTTTTACCTCCACCTAGGCATGACCTATAGTTTTGTTTACGTAGCTGAAGGTAAGGCTGGTGGAAACGACCCACCCATCCGACGAGCTTAGCCTGGGCTCGCCACCATGCCTTCCCACCGCCTCGCTTTACCCCAACAACCAGTTACATAACAATGGCGCCCAACGCATAGCCCAGTAATATTTTAGTCTTCGCACAAGTCTTCTGATCTTCTATCTATCTACCACCCTGGATGTCTATATCTGCTATTTATCTGTCTCTATTCTTCTTGCTGTTCTTCTGTAAAATCTATCCCACTACTTTGACTCCAGTACTGATTAGGGTTGTTATGGTAGCGTTGCGTCGCCCCGACGAATTCAACAGGTGCTGTAATAACAAATATGAGGGGGGGAAATTGCTTCGCCTTTGGAAGTGCCTTATATAAGCTCAAAGCTCGCATAAGTGACAAACAAAGGCAAGGTTGATACTAATTTGGGGGTAACACTAATTTTCTCTATAGCTTCAAGCAGTTTAAGCTACCGTGTGTAGAGTTGCACACTTAACATGCGTGAGGTTTGCAGCGAGCGTATAGGGATAAGCTGGGGTTAAGGAAAAGTTTGGGAACCATATTTAAAGCTAGTGCTTTGGATGATGCTGTTCCAAAATAGTTGACCGCGACTTTTGACCGCAGACTGACTAGAGCACACCCACTATGACCTCGCCTAGGTGCAGCACCGAAAACACGCCAATCAAAATCATAAACTGTTTATCGAACATATACATTTATAAACTATCTTTTAACTTCTTCTGCCAAATCTTGGAAAAGGAATTTCCGTAATTGATCGAATTAATAATAATGTCATATCTAGATACACATACAATTTTTCCATGTGTTTACATTGAGAACATTATCTTTTTTTTTTTCAGTATATTGAAGCACAGAACTATCCGTATAACTAGTTTTGCTTTTTTTTGAATTTTTTTTTGGGAATCAATCACGTTTTATACCATCTGTAGTCGAATAAACTGAATTTTTTTTTTTAATTACATTTCTCGCGACGCCGAAGTAGGGTTTTGTTTTTATATGTTGGTTATAAATCTACGGTTTTAACTCGAAGGTTGAGAAGAACTTCCGTTAAGGCATACATAATGTGACCAACTATTTCATAACTCAAAGAAGGACAGGTTAGGTTGATTACAAAATTTTGAGTGCAGCTAATTTCGAGTCCTGAAATCTCAGTGTTTGTTCAGAAGTGCGAGCCAAAATGCTTCCATCTTAGCCTCGCGAAGGTTGGAGAGTCTAAAAGAAAGTGTGGAGATGATTCCACCTCATCTTCCTCGTGACAGCTGATAAAAAAGGATCAGTTGAAATTAATAGTCTCACCGCATGAATACCAATCGCACAATGGCCTGTCAGAACTCCTATCACTAGCCCTTGAGAGGTCATGTGTTTTAAAGTGCCCTATAAAAATATTTTCTGCCGCAAAGAAACGTCTTCTTTTCGTTTTTTATGTCACAAAATGACCCGGTTTCCTTTAGCCCAATAGCAGTTCGTACTGCGAAAATTCCGCCTGCAATATCCGGAGGCGCCGTGTTCAACATATGTATGTTAAGCGCCAGTGTAGGTGTTGTTCCTAATGCTCCGCTAATTCCTATTTTACAAGTACAGCCTTCTCGATTGACTTCACCAGATAAGGGCTCCATGAAGAAATAGTGGCTTAAATCTGGTTTCCTAGAGCTAATGAATTAATTTGGGCGAGAGACTTCATCTTTTACCGATAGCCGATACAGCAGTACAAGGCAACCGAAACCTTTCTTACCCTTTCCTCAATGTTAGGCTTCCAAGACAGCCGCCGTTGATCGCTGTTTTTAGCAAAACCGAAGAGAGACTGATTGGCCTAAAATACCTAGGGGAAACACGTGCGCCTTTTCCGGCCTTCGGGATGGACGTAATACTGACTACCCTCCATGACTTGAGGATGTACCCGGTCCCCACACAGTTCTCATAAATAGGATCCAACCAATTGCACGACACCTTCAGAGGCCTTTGCAGCTGCGCAGGTATGATGCCATCGGTCCCCAGCGACTTTAATGGTTCGAACCATTATCGTCCAAGCCACGTGACGATCGTCCAAAAGATCGGAGAAGCGCAGGACCTGGGGGGGAGATTCTGAAACCATTTAGCGACAATTTTCGAATCGCTATCGCACTTTTTGACGCAAAAACATTTATATCATGCGTCAAAAAGTGCGATAGCGATTCGAGAATTTTCGCTTACTGGTTACAAAATCTCCCTCCTGAAGTACAAAATATTGCAAAGAAGTACATTGGACTGTACTTCGAAGTACGAAGTACAAGAGCGAAAAAAGAAGTACTGTACTTCCGAAAGAAGTACGGTTGGTCACATTAGGCATACAGCACGTACTTGTTCTTTATGGTGATAAATATTGATTTTGCTTACGAAAATTTTCCTTTTGGTGTGAAGGTGAGGGTGAATGGAAGAGCGAAATCCCTAGAAGAGAGTTGCTGGTGGATTAGGGCTATTTAGCACCGATAGGCCGGTGACTAGAAGTGTCACACGCGCGCTAGAGAACCAGGTCGTCGGGTCCCTATTCAATCAAATCGACACAGGGATTCCGCGTCCAGTTGATTTTGTGCCAACGGATTTTTTAATAGGTGCACCGCTCGAATTTTTAGAACGTTAGGAGAAGAAGCAGCACGTCAACCCAGCGTAGCTATAACAAGTCAGCTATCGATCTGCGATTCGAATAACAGGCTTAGTTTTTCAAGGAAAATCGAACAACTTTTTGAAATGTCGGAGCTTGAGCAACAAGGTGCTGGAAACGGCGACGATCCGGGGCTGAGCGAACGTACAGGAGGCTCGGGTGCTGGAGCTCCAAAAGCTCAAGGAGATAGCGCGACCTGCACTATGGCCAATATCGAGCAACTGAGCCGCATGATGGGGATGATGGCGCAACAGAACGATATGATGGCCCAGTGCATGAATGAGGTCCGTAATATGAGAGCAAATGTCTCGAGTCTCAGCAACCGACTGGCCGACCAGTGATCGGACTTGTACCACATTGTGGTAGATCTGCCACTTTTTTGAGCATCTACCACATCTACCACACAAGGTCTGAAATCTACCACATATTCGCGTTTTTGAGTAGTTTTAGTTAATTTTAAGAGCAAAAATTTTCCAACACTAAACACTAACAACAGGAAAATTGTGAGGATAAAATAAAGTGTAAAATAGTAAATTTTCTCAATATTCAATTTTTCGACAGGAGACGTGGTTTTATTGTGTTAAATTGCAAAATATGTGATTTATAAAAAGATTTAAAGCGAAAATGGTAAAAAATGGCGATTTTTGTGAAACTATTAGCAAATTTCTGTGCATCTAAAGTTTCTAAAGCGTTCTTTACTTTTACTTGAGAATTTTCGAAATTGGCAAATCCCAATAACGGTTTCTGGAACGTGCCACATTTGTTCGCTACATCGTGATGTGATAAAAAGGAAAGCTGGCAGCACTCCGCAAGGGTGCAGAAATCTTTTGAGATATGTTCGAAAAATATCTTGATATGGAAGGAACTGCTTTACACTGTCAAGGAAAAAAATTGCCAAAACTCAAGAAATTTTTAGCTACTTCAATCTTACAATTTGTTATACTATAATTCTTTTTTTTTAGATGCTAATTAAAATGTTTGCAATTTAGGTGAAACCTTGCAGAATATTTTTAATTTTTGTACAAAATTTGGTCCAAAACCTGAGATCTACCACATTTTTTTGAAATCTACCACATTTTTTTTACAAATTCTACCACACAAATTTATTTGTAAGTCCGATCACTGTGGCCGACATGGAAACGTCTGCTCAAGCCTTGGGCCATCGTTCTGCTCTCGCATCGACACCAGAAAATAGGGGTCACGGAAACGAAGCTTTCGGCCAACACGATAACGACCACACAACTCGTAATAACGAAGGCTTCGATGAACAGAAAGAAAGTTGATTTGGAAAAATGGCACATAAAGTTCGATGGCAATAGTAAGGGTATGACAGTTGAAAGCATGAACCTACTAACAAGATCACGCAATCGGAAAAGAATGAAAAAAGTAAATTTCTGAGCGTTTTTGACATCTGCCTAAAAATGAAAGCAAACAAAGAAAACGAAAAAGGCGCGGTGATTGAGTGCGATTAGATTGGTATTTATTATAAACTATAAAAAGTGAAACTTGATGACAATTAGCAAAAAAAGTTCATAAAATATGGTTTTAATGATTGAGAGTGTTTTACAATCGCATATTATCGGCGCCGGTCGATTTTTCAATGCCACGTTCTGACCACAAATGTGCACCCACTTTTCACGCAATTTTACTCCTCTTGGCAAATCAAACAGACGCACAAACTTGTTCCAATCAAAAAGCACTACATATTATATCATAAATTTGTAATAAATCAAAATTTCTAATTAAAATCGCTGCAGAAAACACATAAAATCGCTAAAATATCACTACGAAGAGGTAGAAGACGATGTAAACAGAACCAAAAAACATCAAAAACACTACGAAAACTTTTTTCTGAAAATCGATTACAAATACAACGATGGCGGATTACGTGATCTGTAGTCGTTGGATCATGAGTTGAAAGCTTCCTATTTCGTATAGAAAAAGTGCGCCCACAACATGAGATTTCACACAACCAACTCTTCACTGACTTTCATTGTCTCGTATCGGGCTCCGCCTTGAAGTGGTACTGGCAAGTACTCGAAGATCATGCCGATGATCTGAACTTCGGATATACCGAGCTGAAATCCGAGTTGC